AAGGTGTTGTGTGTATGTGTATATAATTTATATACTACTTAAATAGATTTACAAAACAATAATCTGAGTGTCTAAAGATTTTTACAAAGTATCAGAGGGGTAGCCGTGTTAGTCTGTATCTACAAAAACAACAAGGAGTCCCGGTGGCACCTTCACTCCATGCATCTGAAGAAGTGGGTTTTTTACCCACGAACGCTTATGCTCAAATAAATCTGTTAGTCTTTAAGGTGCCACCGGACTCCTCGTTGATTTTACAGATGCTCGCTTTGCCTCTTCTCACTCCCACCCAGCTGCTGCTGTGTCCTTTTCATGCATGTGAAAAACAAAACAATGATGGGAAAACAACATCTCTGGAGAACAGTGGTGGTTGTTGTCCATGCCAGGGCCCCTAAGTTAAGCACAGTTGCTCTTTGTTGGGAATAGAAATGTCAGCTTAGCATGTCATGGATGGGGATTTGTTTTGTGTTTCTTTGCTTTAGAAAGGATGGGAATTCACAACTGGTTTGTGTTTCTCCTAGAATTTCCCACTCCCTTTTAAAGGCAACACTTGTCTGTGCTGGTTGTGACACTAGATTTATATCAACTGCTACCACTGGCCACTATTGAGGTGGACCAGTGGAAGGTTGCTGTAGTTCTTTCATGGGCTTTATCTACACTAGAGAATTGAACCCCTGGTACATACTGCATACAGATACTATGGTGATGAAGTGACCTAAGAACCTCTGTAGAATAGAACAGTAGCCAATCTAGTGGAATAGCACTGGTGTAAGTACTGTGGGTATGTATTAGCCATGCTGGTTTGGGTGAAGGTCGCTTGTAGCTTTGCCCCACATCCACACTAGCATTGTATCATCGTCGCAGGTGCACTGTCCTCTGGATAACTGTCCCAAAGTTCTTGGCACAGCTCCCCGAAGCAGTGGCTTGTGGAGGAATTCAGACTGGCCTTCAGGGAGCCCAGTGGAATTGTGGGAGAGGGATGAAGTGACCAGATGTCCTGTTCTTTTTTTGCAGGATAATCTTGTTTTTCAGCTGTCTGTTTTGCAAATTTGGAGCCTTAAAACTGGCCCCTATTGTATACTCGGTGGCTCCTCCTCCCTAGAAGGAGCGCTCTGGGAAACCATTCTCCACAGTCCCTGAGGGCAACAGCGCTTCCAGTGAGTGTGGGGCCCAGGGGTGAGATGGGGTGAATGCAGGGAACAGGTTGCCAATGGAGTAGGTGTGACATATGGGGTCCCCCCTCGCCCCTGAACTTTGATAATCTGGTTACCTCCGAGCAGGGGTGGGCAAACTTTTTGGCCCTCAGGGCACATTGGGGTTCCAAAATTGTATGGAAGGCTGGTGTAGTGTATTAAATTGCTCCCCGTAGGAATGTGCTATTTACGGTGTACAGTAACTCCTCACTTAATGTTGTAGTTATGTTCCTGAAAAACGTGACTTTAAGTGAAACGATGTTAAGCGAATCCAATTTCCCCATAAGAATTAATGTAAATAGGGGGGATTAGGTTCCAGGGAAATTTTTTTTTTGCCAGACAAAAGGCATTATATACATTTTAAACAAGTAATTTAATACAGGTACTGTACTATAGTTGGGAGGTGCCCCAGCCTTACCCTACACAGGCACAGCCCACTGGCACTGGAGATGAGGCAGGCAAGGAGGCTGAAGGTGCTGTAGGCTAGGAGAAGCACATTGCGCAGCAGCAGCTTCCCCTACTCTGCAAGCACCAGGGGCGGGGTACTCAACCCTCAGCCCACCCACTCCTCCCCTTCCCCTAAGCCCCCATCCTTGAACTGCCTCTTCTTTCCCCCCCCCACCTCCTCCCCCTTTACTTCCCAGGCTCCTCCCTCCCCTCCCTTCTAAACCCTGCAAGCCAGCTGATTGTCCTGGGCAGGAGGCAGGGGAGGGAGCAGGAGGCTTGCTGAGTCCTCACTCCTCCCCCCTCCCTTCTGCCTGGGGCAATCAGCTGGCTTGCATTTAGGAGGCAGGAGCGAGGACTTGGCGCAGGCTCCCTCTCCCTCCCCAACCTCCTGCCCACAGCAATCAGCTGGCTTGCGGCATTCGGGAGACGGGAGTGAGGGGGAGCCTGCACGCGGAGTACTCGCTCTTCCCCCCTCCGTCCTGCCCCCAAAACGCCGCAAGCCAGCTGATTGCTGTGGGCAGGTGGCGGGGGAGGAGGGGAAAGGCGCTGATCCGCGGGGTCTGCCGGCGGGCGGGATGTGCTGGGGGGGGGGGGGGCGTCGGGAGGCTGCCAGCTGTGGAGAAAGCAGGCAGACAAACAAGGTAAGAGTGGAGCATTGCACAACTTTAAATTAGCATGTTCCCTAATTGATCAGCAATGTAACAATGTTAACCGGGACGACTTAAAGTGAAGAGTTACTGTACTACTTACGGCTGCCAGTCCTGGTGCTCTGAGCAGCATGGTAAGGGAGCGGGAGGGTTGGATAAGGGGCAGGGAGTCCAGGGGGGCAGTCAGGGGACAGGGAGCAAGGGGCAGTTGGAAGGGGCAGAGGTGCTGGGGGGGTGTCAGGGGACGGGGAACAGGGGGGTTGGATAGGCATGGGAGTCCCGGGGAGCCTGTCAAAGGGCGGGGGTGTGGATGGGGGTCGGGGCAGTCAGGGAACAGGGAGCAGGGTTAAGGTTAGTCTATTGAATTGCTCACCGTAGGAATGTGCTACTTCGGCTGTACTACTTACAGCTGCTAGTCCTGGTGCTCCGTAACTAGCACATTCCTATGGGGAACAATTTAATACATTACACCCAGCGGCTCTTGCGCCTGGCAGGAGCTTGCAGCCCCACCCCCCAGAGCACTGGCAGCACGGCGAGCTGAGGCTGCTGGCGAGGGCTAGCCTCCCTGGCCGGGAGCTCAAGGGCCAGGCAGGACGGGCCATTGGGCTGGATGTGGCCCGCGGGCTGTAGTTTGTCCATCTCTGCCTTAGAGAAGTCAAATTCCCATAATTCCCTAGGGAAGAGTTCTGTAAATCTAAGGGTGCTGGCACCGTTTCCTAGTCCTCTCAACATGGGGCCAAAGTGAATGCTCTGCTCTGGCTCCTGGTTCAGCAAAGAGAGGTCCCTGATCCGGCCCTGGTGAAGAAGCAGCAAGCTGGCTTCAGTGGAGGATGTCACAGGAGAGGCAGGTGCTGAGACAAGCGGTGCAGAGTGCACGATGCACCTGCCGCCACCATCCTTACGCAACCCAGAAGCTAGTTACAAGGGCTTAGTATTATTTGTGGAACAGCTTTCAGTACTGATGCTGCTTTTACCCACCTCGAAAGCCGACAGCCCTCTGTTCTCTATTCCCAAGTGCTCCATTTAACCACTGAACAGGCAAAGTGTGTGCAGCAGCTAGAGCATTCCCCAATTCCCCAAATGCCCTGCCAATGTGCTTCAGACTAGATCTGGAGGACCGTCCCTAAAGCTAAGAAGGGAGTTCATTCTCCAGGCCTTGTCAGTCATTAGCTTCTCTACTGATGCTGCCAGCCAGAGAGAACACTTGTGATGAGGAATGTGAGGTTGGGTGGGAGTTTAGGCTCCAAATGCTTGCCCTTTAGGAACCTGGCTGTTGGCCATCAGCTTTTTTTTTTTTTTCCCCAAAGCTCCGTTTATCCCTAATTGTTTTTCCTTTTCCTGCTCTCCACCTAAGTTCCTATCCGCATCACACACCGAGGTTCAAATTCTCTGCTGATGTAATGTCATTGAAATAATGGCATTATACCTAGAGAGAATTTGGCCCCAAGTTTCTAACCTTAGCACGTTTTAATAGGCTTATTAATAAACCTTCATAATCAGGAGTTTATAAAAAAGAAACGCTACCCCAGGGTTGTCATAGTAGGGAGAACTGTGCCATCTCAATCTGATGTTTCACTCCTTCCAATGTGGGAATTTGTCCCTGAATTTCACAGTAGAATTCTCAGCAGGCAACAGACGCTTTTGCCAGAGCTTCCAACGGTGGCTGGAAAACAGTAGAGATGGATCCAAGCTGCAAAAATCTGATCCAGATTTGGATTTCAACACCACAAAGCTCAGGCATGTTCAGCTCTAGGGGTTTTGCTTAGACCACTACAAAGATAGGAGTTATTTGCAAAATTCAGATCAAACCTGGGATATGAATCATCCCTGGAGTATTTGGTTCTGGGTGTATCTTGAGACAGATTTTGTTACATAAGGCTCTAGTTTAGATGTATGTGTAGAACAGCTTCAACAGGATCTCATAACAGCTTTATGGTAACCCCTTACACAAGCTAGCTGAGGGCTAAGGCAGTCGATTAGTTTCAAAGTCTAGTTTAAAAATAGACCGACATCACGGGGGGGAAATTACTTACACATTTCAACTGCAATTCATAACTTGCTAGATACTGAAAATCATAGACTGAAACATTGGAATTATGGTTCATTACAACAATCTATAACCCTCTTAAACCATCCCTCCACACCTCCAATTTCCCCCCCCTGTGATTGGAGAGGTGTTAATGGGCCACTTCACCTTGAATGTCCCTTGAAATATGTTAACTACTTATGCTAAATAATTCTTCCACCTCCTCTTTAGCTGTGACATTACATTTCCCAGACCTGAAGAAGAACTCTGTGTAAGCTCAAAAGCTCGTCTCTGTCACCAACAGAAGTTGATCCAATAAAAGATCTTTCTTCTCCCACTTTGTGTCTCTAAATTCAGCTGACACATCCAGGAAAGATGGACAAGAAGTGTTTGAAAATGTACTGCAGTATACACAGGAGTCTATCTTACTATCGTGCTTTAGTCAAATCCGTTACAAGGAGAAGTTATTTGTATATAATTCTGTCTTTGTCTTTAGAGAACATAGAGCCAAATTCACATAAGTGGGCACAGCCAAGTCAATGGAAGTTACACAAGGGCTGGATTTGACCTATGGCCTTGAAACTAATGAGTCAGACCCCATACCAGGCATGCTGAAGTATGTGAGCAAGAGGTGGAGTTATTTGGAGTGGGTGTTGGAGACAACCAATGAGAGCAACAGGGGAGAGCATGACTAGAATGTTATGTTTTTCATAACAGTGGTTGCCACCAGTAGGAGTGGGGTGGAGTTTGCCAATACAACACAGAATAAACGCTGAAACACAGCATTGGGAGAGTGTACATAGCATTGGAGAAAGGAACGGGAACGTAACAGCTAGAAGGGGAGAAGGACAATAGGACGTAGACTTCAAAATGTAAGTGTCTTGTCCAATTTTTCATCCACTTTCTAACAGCAGGTGCCTGTTGAATGGCATGGCCAGGCTGCTCTCCCTCCCCACTGTTGCTGTAAGAAACCCTCTGAGACAGTCCCCGGTGTTTTTCTTCTCTCCCGGACCCCACAGTGAGTGCTGAGAGAGAACAGCCAGCCCATGTGATATAGCAGCAGCGGGATGGAGTATGTAGATGGGGTAGACTTGCCTTAAAGCTGGAGAAGAAGTGGAATCCTCAAGAGAAGAAAAAAGTTTTTAATCTCCGGTCTAATGGGCAAAGTGAAAGTCATATAAATCAGTAACAGAGGGAAACCCAGCTAAAGTTTACTGTAGATCTAACTGTAAAGTTGCAACTAACTATAAATGCTGGTACTATTGTTCCCATTTGGAGAACTGTCTGTAAATGTCAGGGCTATTGTTGCATGTGGGAACATACACTGGGCTACAGGACAAAAGAATATCATTATGCTTAGTCATGCTCTGTTCTTTGCATTTCATAAGCAATGCTTATGCTTTGCATTTCATAAGCAATACTGTAACTAGCACACGAAGGTTCCACTTATATTCAGGAATTAACAGCATTGGCCAGAATGTTAGACCATGTGATGAGTTTTGGGAGCGGGAGGGATGGTGAAGTCAGTGCTAGGGAGAGAGACACTTTCTACTCCAGTGTCCAAGAGAAGTGGCAGCATGCAAGAGAATTTCCTTAAGTAATCAGAAATGACTAAGTGCTTTTCATCAAAGAGCAGTGAGAAAAGCAGTGCTGAAACCTAGAGAAAGGGGAGAGATGGCAGAGATACAGCGTCACTGCCAGCAAATCAGGAATAGACAAGGGTTAAAGTGCCAAATACACTGTCAAGTCTGACCCTGAGCTGATATCTGCTTCTGATACATCTTTGGAATCTGTCACTCTTTCCTTATGCCTTGGTAACCTGTGTATCATTTATTGTGCCATAGGAGTGTGTGTGTGTATTACAGTTGGATCTTCTTGAATGGCCCCTTTGATAAGCAGCCTGCCTGCAGAACTGAGATGATCCCACTGCATCTGTTTGCTGCCAGGGCGTAGATATTGTGCCTGGTGTTCCCTGCAACTAAGTCACAGGAGTTTACAGATGCATCTTGAGGTTTACTGGCATCAGTGTCTTGTGGTGTGGCTTTCTGATGCCTGCTCTGTTGTGACTGCTTAAAGCAGCTGCTCTTAATTTAGTAGAAGCTTTTAAATGTTTGAGTGCTCTGTACACTGCTTATTTGAAGGGTAATATGTGAAATCAATATGAATAATTTATTTTTCTACAGCATCTTTCACCCCGAAGGATCCCAGAGGGCTTTACAAACTAATATACAAATTATGTGGGCTCAGTGCAGCCACCTCTGAGGTGGGACATAGCAGCTGATTATCAGCACACAGCAATGCTACAGAACATTTTAGGGCAAGAAGTAGAAATAAATGCCATCTCTGTTTAAAGCTAGAGGGGAAGTTTAGGGATGAAAAATTAATCAAGAGAGAAATTGACTAGGTCAAAGGAGTTATAGTTCCAATTCTTGCAAAAGTGCCCATGATCTTTGAGACAATAGACTGGTCTTATTTATATTTGCAAAGTGCCATGTAAAAGATTATAATCTACTATGTAAAATACTATAAGGCATGATATAAAAGATTTCTAATAAATAACTACTTATGGGTTCTTCACTGACTAGGAATGATCCAGGTCCTCAGTACTTTGTCTCATCTGAAATATACGACTATCAGTCAGCAGCACAATGTACAGTAGAACCTCAGAGCAGGGGCAGCTCTAGGCACCAGCAAAGCAAGCACCTGCTTGGGGCAGCCCATTTGCAGGGGCGGCAGGGATCCAGCATGGGAGCTGAGAACCAACAGGGGGCCCTGGGAGCTGTAGTTCCTTGGTTAGCTCCCTACCTATAGAGCCAGCCCTGGAGCAGGGAAAGAACTATATTTCCCAGCATTCCCTTGGCCACTACCAACAGGAAAGAGGAGGAGGGAGTAAGGTAGCTGAGACCTCATGCTGCAGTGAATGGAGAGCTGCACTGTGAGTAGGGATACCATATTTTAACATTACAAAAAATAGGACACTCCACAGGGGGGGAGGGAGGGTAGCCCCCATCTACTCCCTCCGACTGCCCCCCACA